CAGGCCTCAGGAGTTGGCAGTGCCTTCACCCCAGTTCCTTCATGATGGTGTACACAACTGGGCATTCTCTCTCAGAATAGGAAACTAATGAATCAGACCCCAGATTTGAGCCAGGCTTGTAGGGTGTCCTGTAAGACCCCACACTCAGGAGGCTGAGTTGACTTCTAAGTTCACAGACAGCTGGGATACCATAGTGAAACCCTGTCTCAAAGCCAAACTGAACCCTGGTTTCAGGGCAGTCAGCATCGGCAACTCTCTCTGCAGATCTGAGGGAAGAGAGGAAAGCAGGGGAGACAGAAGACTCAAATCTGTGCAGAGCAGGACACGGGAATCAGCTGGACCGAGTCACGGAGACCTGAGTGACGTCCATCTCTGATACTTGTTGCATGACTTGGGACAATAAAAAGAACCCCTCTGGGACTTGGTTCTTTTTTTTTTCCTTAAGATTTATTTTTATAATTCTATGCATGTGTGCATGTCTGTGTACGGTGTGCACACGTGAGTGCAGATGCCTGTGGAGACAGACGCTTCAGATCCCTGGGAAACGGGGTTCCAGGCAGGTGTGTGCTGCCTGGTGTGAGTGCAGGGAATTGAACTTGGGTACATGCTCTTGAGCCTTGAACCATCTTTCTAGCCCAGGACTCAGGTTTTCCATCTGTAAAATGGAGCTATAACTCTAGCTGGAGACTGCATATCTACATGTAGGGCTGGGCTAAGCAGGGCTTAGTAAAACTTCACAAAGAAACCAGGTGTGTGGTGCAGGTAACTCAGGGCCTTCCCCAAGTCTCCTTTTACAACTTGCACAGTATTAACTGATCTTTCCAGCTTTCCAACAAGTCCCATGGGACCCAAAGACCTCTTGTCTTGGTATCCGGGCCCTGTGAACAAATTTTTGGAATGCCATTTTGGAAAGGAGAGACACACTTTGTTGGGAAGGGTGCCACACCGTCAGACCACCGTCAGCACACATGCACGTGTGCTGGAAGTTTCTACGGGGGCTGACTGCACAGATGTAACCCTTGACTAGTACTCACGGTGACTTAATCCAGGTTCCAGGCTCCACAAATGCACAGGTCACATGCTGAAAGGCTTGCAAGCATTGGATCCCATGAAAAGCAATAGAGGAGACTGAAGAGTCTGGAAACAGCAAGCTATGATTGCCCTGGGGAATCTGGAGGGAGGGGAGCTGTACTGACAGAGCTCCCACCTCCTCCAGCTTCAACAATACAGGGCCTTCCTAAGACCCT